TATAATTTGGCGAAATATGACGTAAAAGTAATTGTCTTATATACGTCATTTAATTATCTATCAACAAAAACTTCGCCAAACGTTATTATTTTGCCCTGCAGAAGAGTAGTACCGCAGTAATCGTGAAGGGGCTAATAGCTTTTTAATTATCAGGTGCTCTATTTTTAGCAGCAAATCATAAATCACAAATGATGCTCCTTTACTGAGATTTATTAATGGTGTAATTGTTTTTTGTGTGTAATTTTAGTGTTTTAATTAATGTTATAATTTCGAACACATATATGAGTATGTGTTAATATTTTATATAAGTTTTCATAGCTTTTAAATTATGTTTACTTGCGTTTTATTGTACAGCGCTTTAGAGTTAACTTATTAATATTTAGCGCTTTATAAATTCATATATTATTATTATTATTATTATTATAACTATGTACATAGTTCATTCATTTGGTATAATACTCAGGAGCGGAGGAGGAGATTTTTAAAGAATTTATGCATTTTCACTATATCATTAATAGAGTCCTGCCCTAACACCAGAACCTCCAACCCAGGGGCAATAAAATTCAGCATTTTGGAAGAGGCAGTCTTATTCAACATAACTATGTATTCGGTTTGTTTATTAAATACCCAGGAGCAAAGAAGATTTTCAAAGAAATTATGCATTTTCACTATAATCAACCACCCTCACCCAAAGTATCACCAACCCAGGGGCCATGAAATTCACAATTTGGGAGGAGACATTCTTTCTCATCATAACTATGTTCTTGGTTAGTTTGTTTAATACCCAGGAGCAGAGAAGAAGATTTTCAAAGAATTTATGTATTTACTGTATAATTAATAGAGCCCCTCCCTAACACCAGAACCCCTGACGCTGGGACCATGAAATTCACAATTTTTAAAAGAGGCAGCCTTAATCAACATAACTATGTATTTGGTTTGTTTATTAAATACTCAGGAGCAAAGTAGAAATTTTTTATAGAAATAATGCATTTTCACAATATAATCTATATAGCCCCGCCATAGCAACTAGGAATCCCTGACCCTGGGGCCGTGAAATTCATAATTTTGGAAGAGACAGCCTTATTCAACATAACTATGTGCTTATATGTAATAACGTGTCTAGCAGGACTATATTTATAGGGCGAAAAAGTACATGAACACGATGGAGGAACACAGAGTAACGCAAGATACCCAGCACAAACACGTGTCGATCGCCATTCCACGCTGATACCCGTAACATTAAAGCAGTCAGATATAATGTACGCGAAGAGTATTCCTTGGTGTTGATATCGAAAATGGCGTATGCCTATTTATTAGTCGTGTTCCGCTTTAACCCTGCTGGCTTAAATACACTGTAATAATGCAAACGCGTCATGTTAAGTCATAAATATAAGCACAAAAGTATATATTAATAGGCTTAATAATTATCTTCTCAGCATGATATAGGATAAAAGTTTTAAATTGATAATCATACTTTAAATTATTTTTTGGGGAGGGGGTTTGGGGGTGGGGGTGATATATTTAAACCCGTAAAAAGATCAAGAGATTTAAATCTTGTTTTTCATGGTATGGATATTTATGTATTTTCTTTATTTAATAGACTGCCAGACCCTATTGTAATTAAATATCTTAAATTAGAAATTTTCATCATTCATTGATAGAAATTTATTGTGATTGATTGATTGATTGTATACTGTTTAACGTCCCTCTCCAGAATATTTCACTGATATGGAGACGTCACCATTGCCGGTGAAGGGCTGCAAATTTAGGCCTATGCTCGGCACTTAAGGCCTTTGAGCAGGGAGGGATCTTTATCGTGCCACACCTGCTGTGACACGGGGCCTCGGTTTATACGGTCTCATCCGAAGGACCGCCCCATTTAGTCGCCTTTTACGACAAGCAAGGGGGTACTGAGGACCTATTCTAACCCGGATCCCCACGGGGTGAAATTTATTGTGTGTGATACCCAATAATTAATTACCTGTTGTTATGGCACTTTCTTCTCTCTGAGTATGGAATAGGCCAAATCGATCTAAAATTGAACTTAATTCACATAATTTGTTGTTTACCTTTAAGGGTACATACAAGTAGACACAGATTTGATGTTATAAATATACTTTTCTCAAATTTTCAAACTTACAAAATTTGTGTTAAAAAAAGAAATGTTACGACTTATATATTGCAATAGCATCTCTGAAACACAAGAAAATATAATACAAATCTTATTTCCAATCTTAAACATTAACAATAACAGAGCTCGTGCACTGTTCACAAAAAAGAGTTTATGTTTCACGGGTGTATTCAATTTGTATAACTTTGTACTGAGCACGGTCTGACGATAATAGTCATGTGTTTTGCTTTCGAATATATTTACTCTGAATTTTCTGTATTATCGTTTTAATATTTCTCTTTAATACACAACAAAATTGCTGAAAAAAGATGTTTTTTATATTTTCGTGTGAAAAGCTATTGAAATATATAAGTCGTGATATTATACAGAAAATACGATAAAATATTAACTTCAAATCTGCTTCTAGGTCTCTTTAAAGTATTATTTATCTGGAAAAAAAGATAAAAAGCTTTTTGCTTTTCAATCTCACAATTTACCATATATTGTATGGTTATTTATATATTTTGTTTATGCCTAAAATTTATTGATAAAGTCTTACTTAATAGTAACGTGTTTTTTTCAATTACAAGATATTGCATAAAATATAGAAATAAATAGATTAAAATACTGCGGTTTCCTTTTTACTTGTTAAACTTTTTCTGCAGCCCCAATTGTTCCTCTTATACAGAAAGTAAAGCGCTACAAGGAAGACGACTACAAGTAGTAGCACTATGATGATTCCGGCAATCAGTCCACCATCCCCATCTTGTGTTTCACCGGTACTGTCATTCAATGAATGATAATATAAGATGACAAAAACATTCTTATAATCAAAACACAATAAACATGTTTTCATATGGTGATGTGTACCTTTTGAAAGATGATGGTATTGTTCATTACACTGCTTTAGTAATGCTGTTATATACAGCTTAAATGCATACTTACTTTTCCAATGATATTGTATCTACAGTTGGCTCAGATCTACAAAAATATATCAGGAGTTAAAAGAATATTGTAAAGAATTTTATTGAATGTTCCTATACAGAAATCAATATTTTGATTTAAGCGAGAAATAAAAGTAAAAGTTTACATGGGAACCTAAAATCGTAGAAAGAGTCATAATACATGAACCCTAGGCCTATACACATCCTCTCTCCAACAAACACACACCTTCCTCAATCACACAAATATGCACCTTAACCCTCACAAACACACCATCTCACCCACATCCTCACAAATATATTTTCGCATTTTGTTTTAGCTCGACTGAACGAAAAGCTCAAGTGAGCTACGGATCAGCCGATGTCTGGCGTCCCTCCGTCTGTCAGTCTCTTATCAATTATTTTCGTTTAGTTTATAATATTTTGAACGAAAGACCGAACTCGCTTTTAAAGAACCCCGAGTAACCACAATTTATTTGTCCAAATACATTTGCTTCCAAATTCATTTGATTTCCTGTCATATTTTCCTTGACTACCCCTCTTTGGAAAATTTCTAGATGGCATTTTTGCTACATAGTAAGATACAAGCACCCTTTCCCAATTACATAAATTATATTAGTTTTACCACACTTTTTGATCTGCACGTACGATCTAGTTGTTTTTGTGATGGATTGGTATTTCATATAGGCAAATAATTTAGTACACAGGGGTGCAATGGAGAATTTAGCATCCCCTGCCAACCTGTGACGCCCGTCGTGTACTCCTAGTTATGATCGGGAAATAACGGAAAAATCCGTCGTCAATTTAGTGTAAAAATAATATTTTTATTGACTTAGAATCGGTATGAAAAACGTCAGTCACCATTTGACTCAATGATAAAAAATAAATGTATTTGCGGACAAGGTCATTGTATAGACCATAGCACTTACGAAATAATGACTTTAAACAAAACTATTGATATTCTTGCTTCATCAACTTATTTGTCAATAATTTACCCCATTTTAGAAATTGTCCATATGTAGAGTATGCTTTTGTGTATCGAATCAATTGAGATAATTATATATATGAATGACAATAAATAAGCGAAGTAAGCGACGATTGTAAAGTTCAAGTCATCAATATCATAGAACTTTGTTGTTATCTGCATAAAGTTATATTTAGTTGATTGATTGATTGTTGTTTAACGTCCCTTTCGAGAATTTTTCACTCATGTAGAGAAGTCAACACATACCAATGAAGGGCTATAATTTTTTAACCTTTACTCGGCACTAAGGGCCATTAAGTAGTAAGGGTTCTTTATCGTGTCATCGTCTGCCGTGACACGGGACCTCGGTTTTTAAGGTCTCATTCGAAAGACCCGCAAATTTCGCTTCAAGTGCCGAGTGTATGGCTTAGGAATAGTAGCTACCCATATTTTATCGACTTAGGTCAGTCGCGGCCGAGATTCGAGCTAATGACCTCCCGATCACAGAGCGAGCGCTCTTCCGTTAGAGCTGTCGTATACGGTCAACGTATAACAAAACAAGGTTTTGATTTTTAGGAGCGATAGGTATATCCGTTATTGGTTTTATTTCGCTTTTTGCATAGAAATATCTATTTAAGCCTTTAAATCACTTGCGTAAAACCTTATTGCATATCTACAGGACAGAACTAACCATCTACCACAAGATGATTAGGATACCGTGTAAAATGTAAGAGGAGTTAAAGGAAGGAGAGTGTGACAGACGGTCGGACAGAACAGGATAACAACAATATACACGAATAATCTTTAGAACTGAGGGTATTTATAAATAGATTTTTATGGACTGATCATGTTATCGACGTCATCCAGTTATTATAGCGTTTTCCTCCAAATATATGTTGAAAATAGTAATGTATAATAAAACTGTTCAGTATCAGGTAATACACCCTTCTATCAATTAAAGGAGGTTAGAATATGCATGTATCTCCCGAGGCACAGATCATTGTATATTATTAACCACAGCATTTCACCTGCCTTTTGTTTCCAGAGAAATCTTCGTAACAAACTGGCCCTGCAATAGAGTAAAGGTGCAAGTAATTCTGCAACAAAAACCAGCACCAAATATACAATAATAGTTTACATGTAAATTGTTGGAAGCAATAGAACTTACATTTATAAAGTTCTCCGGGGTTGTAGGGCTTGTCTGGACATCTTTCTGATACATTACACGGCACTGATTGCAAATTGTGTGTGTGTGAATGGAGAACTGCACACGTATCTGGTAAATGAATTATTACAATTTGTTTAGTAATTGAAACAAATCTATTATTAATAATTAGATCAATATATATTAGATCATTATATTCTATTCGTTTAAGAGAACTTGGAAAACGCATATTATCCCTTTCCCTTTCAGTAACTGAAGATGTAAGAGTGCCAAAGCAAAACCACGATAGTTCCATTTAAACTGAGCATAGTTGAATTTAGTTTAGGCTTCTATCTTGCGAACAAATAGAGAGAGATGGCCAATTCCAATTTTAACAATTGAAAAGTGGTGTGAATGAGTGTAGATATTGTAATCGTGACATTCATTTTTTTTTTCTTGAGCAGCATTGTCTTAAGAATTACTCTTTGTCAATGATCATAAAGTCCTAATGTTTACTATATTTCTATGACTGCTATTTTTTTATTAGTACGTAAATCTTCACGACTGCATTTCATTTCCGACATTTTGTTTGGTTTTCATTTCCGACAAGTTTCAGATAGTACCTTTAGTAACAAATTTACAGACTCTACCGGAAAAAAATCAAAGGAATAAATCATAAATAAATCACTGAAATACATTTCTGGGTTTTTTTAAAATATATCAATGAAGCGACTAAGAAAATGGAAAATGCAGGCAACGTTATGGCACGCCAAATTCACAAAAATGAGCTAAACATAGTTTCACAGTTAATAAACTAGGTTTATCGATTGTAAACTATAGTTTACGGACTGTAAACTATAGTTAACAACGTTAATCTATATTTTACATCTGTAAACCATAGTTAACGCGATAATCTATGTTTCACAACCGTAAACTATACTTAACACCGAAAACAATCATTTGCGATTGCAAAACATAGATTATCTGATAAATACAGTTTCACAATTTGTAAACTATAGTTTACAAACCGTTAACTATAGTTACTAATCTGATAAATATAGTTTCACGATTTGTGAAACTATGTTTAACAACTCTTAACTATAGTTTACGATTGTAAACTATAGTTTACAATCGTGAATCTATGTTTATCAACAAAATCTATTGTTAACGCTTATTACAGACAGATAAACTTAAAAACTTAACAACCGTTAAATATAGTTTTACAGATGAAAACTACACTTAACGAATCGTAAACTATAGTTTACGGTTTGTAAACTATAGTTTACAGTCGATAAACCTAGTTTATCAATTGTGAAACTAGTTTTAGCTCATTTTTGTGAATTTGGCGTGCCATACAACGTCCTACATTCGAACGATTGACTCAGTCTTTACTCTGCCCAGATGTTAAGGGTTTGCTATTGTGTGCAACCAAGTGAGACTCACTGAAAATAAAAACCTTAATATCTTTAAAAATAAGCCTTGCCAACACTTGAAAACTGTTCCATTTCATCTTTATAATGAAAACGATCTTTGGGTATATGGAACTACATTGACACTTGCAGTAGTTTGCAGCTACGAAGTGCACAATACACCTGCAGGACTGCGCAGCCACAGGTTTAAGCAGTGCATTAAAAAATCCAAAAAAAATATGAAATAGTTAAATAAACAAAGTAGCTACAACTATTTGAGAAGAACCATTCTTTTACATGAAAACTGACTGCAACAGGTTCAATTCTTTAAATGCATACTTGTCAGTTCAACAAGAAAATGTTAGCCATGAAAGTAGTGCCAACCACAAGGCAATGTGTTAAAAATAGAATTAAAGAGACTCACTGTTGTTCTATAAATAGCACTTTATATGAAAGCCCAAATTTATCTAAAGGATTACTCTATGGTGTGTACAAAACGGAAATTAATGTTAAACAATTAATTTTCTCCTTTAAAAAATATGCTAAATAAGAGATTAAAAATCTGTTTAGTAATGAAAGTGTGCAATTTAAATGACACTTGGCCCACAATGTTTACTTGATTGATTATTGTTTTTTTTTACGCCGAGTCGGCAATATTTCAGCCATATTTCGGCGGCAACATTTACTTGAGTCATATTTGTGTTCTTCAGATTTTGCTCGTTAAAGGACCATTTTTTACTACACATTCCCATGCAAGACTTTGATACCCTATTTTAGGGTTTAATTTTCATGGATGACAGATGAACAGAGTTAACAGACACCAGAGACCCTTTGATAGAAAAGCTCCATAGAGCCTTTTGCTAAGATGACTTAAGATATTAAAATGTCTTTGATTATTGTAAAAAAAAAAAGTCACAAATAAGAACAAAACAAAAGGATGATATATGAACTTTTTAAAAATTCTTTATCACTTCCAGAATACTATATTTCTTTTAACATGTTAACCAGCATATACAAGTTTGACTAATTTTTTTTTAAGTTTCTTTACAGATATAATTAATTAAGGTATAATTTTAAAAATAAACTTCAATCTTAACAATATAACTGCAGTATGGGGGTATCTGGGACCTGTGTTCTAAGCACTGGTTTCAAAAGACTGAATTGAAAACATTTTGTGCATTTGATGCACTGAACAAGAACACATATAAATTAGGTAAAAAATTTAATTACAATACCCTTTACCAAGATCCCAAAATGTTCTTTATTGGAAACTTGCGGAAAGTTCATATATGTATTTTTATACCCCCCCGCTTGAAAAGCGGGAGGGTATATAGTAATCGTTAATTCCGTCCGTCCGTCCGTCCGTCCGTCCGTCCGTCCGTCTGTTACGCATTGGGGTACCCATCTCTTATCCGCAACTCCTCTCATACCACTGAAGGAAATTTGATGAAACTTTCACAGAATCTTTGTTACATATTGCCATTGTGCACCTCCTATTTTACTTTTTGATCCGACACATATTTTGGTTTTCACGGCCACAGCAAAACATGGACTTTGTCATTTTAACTATATGGAGGCGGGTGGTATCATTATACCCCCCGCTTGAAAAGCGGGAGGGTATATAGTAATCGGTATTTCCGTCCGTCTGTACGTCTGTCCGTCCGTCCGTCTGTTACGCTTTGGGGTACCCATCTCTTATCCGCAACTCCTCCCATACCACTGAAGGAAATTTAATGAAACTTTCACAGAATCTTTATTACATATTGCCATTGTGCACCTCCTATTTTACTTTTTGATCTGACATATATTTTGGATTTTTCAGAGCAAAACATGGACACTGCCATTATATTCATATGGGAGGCGGGGGGTATCATTTAGTGAGCTCATTGCTCACAGTACCTCTAGTTGTTTATTGCCATCATATACTAGTATTCTTTTTCAATGATGTTCGGAAAGTTCAACACATGTGTAAATACTACCATGAAATCAGAAATAACTTTCAAGTCACATTGTAATAAACTACATAAGAGTGATCTTCATATGTTTCTGATATTTTCTCCAACACTGTTTTCCAAAAGATTGAGACAAACCAAGATGGACAAAACCTCTGTCATTAGAATCATTTCCTCTTTAACTTTGAAATCTGTAAAATAATATAACATAACATTAAAAAAAAACAATATAGTATCACTATCAAAGAAGAAAATTGAATTGAATGATAAATATTTACATCATGACTAGGAAAAAAGCATTAAAAGATAGACAAGTAAATTTCAGGGCCAAAGGTTACACATCCCTTAGCAATTATGGTAACGTAAATACCGGCCAAAACTGTTTGTTGCATTGAATATACATGTGTTTCTCATTTTAATTTACAATTGTGTAGATCACAGTAGTTTAATCCATATACTACAGATAAATGATTCTAATTTGTATACAAAGAGGTCAACCATAAATAAGATCAAAGTAAACTCAACTGGTGGTCATGTCATTCTTCTTTGGGAAGTAAATGAGACAAGCATATAAGATCATGTTCTTAAATGAGGCAAACAAGTTTCAGTACAAAATCTTAAGGTTAAATGACAAGGTCAGGATTAGATAGCAGAATTTTAAAAACCTGATATAATGACCTGTGTTAGTAAGCTACAAGATGATGATCATGATGATCAGAAACAGTCCCTCCCAAAAGAGATTGAAGACTTTTATTACTTAAAAATAACCTCTGATGTGACCTTAATTTCTTCATACAGACTGTTTACCTAACATTTGTTGTTTATTGTTAAGGTCAATGCAATATACATGTACATTGATTTATAACATGATGTTATAGGCCTGTAACGTAAGGCTTGATTATTACTTTATATGCCAAAGCAGCCATTGGTACAGTACAAGGAACTAATTTTGTTACATAAATCAGCACCTGCATCAGTGTAATTAGCATCAGCTTTGATTCAGCAACCAGCTAGCATCAGGATAAGCATTTTCAAAAACAGCTAGCTGCTAAGCATTGCCAATATCAGCGTCAGCAAGCAAAGAAAACCTTTAAATCAGCATCAATGCTGAAACAAAGTTAGTTCCCTAAGAGAGCTGTAAGCAGACTCTGACCATGGCTTGAGACAATTTGATGGACACATATACAACATTCATTTAATTAAACAACATCTTTCTTTTCATCCAACTGCATATACATTTCTCATCATAAAAATTGTACATTCTTTCATTCTGTAGACATAGAAGAACATCTGAATTCAGCTCACTATGATATAACACCTAGTACATTATACTGTGTTAAGGAGGCTCATTACACCACTTTTTGATGACGTACTACACAAAAAAATAAACCTCCATTGTGTCGACCGGTTTTCTCTGGGGACGATTTGTACAGGTACCTCTATAAAATGACCCGACCTTTAAAACGCTTTAAAAATAGATGAAACATGCGGTGTTGTAAACAGTGAAAACAAAGTAACGGATTCAGTATGCATACACCAAGAAGAATTGCTTTTAAGCAGAAACAAAAGAAAACAACAGTCAAACCTTCGCCAAACAAGTAATGTCAATTTCATAGCGATGCATGCAGTGAGCTCTATCAATCAATGACATGTTTGTATGGAGGAAATTCGAGTTAAACCTACAACCTTGTTGAAATTAAAATTTTATTTACTTGCACTATTTACTGTGTTGGTGTTAATTTATATATTTGCTTTATTGATTTAAATGTAT